TTGAACTGCCAGCCTTCTGATTAGCAGTCAAATGCCTTAGGCACTACGCCACCACAGCTTCCAAAACATAGGGATTGATAAAAGCTAAAACATCTTTTGTCAAATACTTCACATCAATGTCTATAAAGCCAAGACCCATTTAGTAACTTAAATTACCTGGAAAGAAGGGTTATTCTCCTTTATACATTCCTAAAATAAACTGAAATACTAAAATACATAAATGGATGAATGAATGCAGAATAAGGAAAATTTAATGTATATTTGATTCTCTTAAAATGGAATAATCAAAGATGATGAGCTATGTGGCTTCCCAGACATCTCTTAGATCATTAACATTTTTGAAGGCTTTTTTGCTTAAATGTGAAAAAGATAATAAGTAAACAATAACATATAACAAACATAAACTACCTGGATCGGAAGGCTGGAATTACCCATATTAATCACCTTCAGAACAAAAAGGATGCTAATGCTAACTGGCTTTTATGTAGCTCCTAGAAGTTTTCATTTAAAATTTTAGACAGCTTTTTTCTCATCTCATTCTCCCTCATTTGCAACAGATTCTATGTTCTTCTCTTCCTCATTAAATATGCAACAACCTACTGGTAACTACCCTCTTGAAAAGGACAAAGAAATACTCGGGGGAGAGTGGCACTTGAATGTGGAAACTAAGCAACCCCAGCATGGACCAGAAAGAAGCAACTTGAACAATGTCTCTGGGAAGCTTCCAGCAATGGCCCTCTTTGGCTCCATAGGAAACACGGAGCCTCCCTACCCAGAAGCGCAGCCCAGAGGCAATGGGGCCTCTCCTTGGAGGCACTATGAGAACAGAAAGCACTGTGAGAACCAGGGGAATCTTCTCCAGTTTGACCAGCAAGCCCCAGGCCACATTTCTACCTCTCCCACTTTGAGGAGATTAAGGGGCAGAGGATGTGGGACCGCTAATACAAGGCCTCAGCAAGATACCTTGGAAGCACCCACCTGGGGAAGCTGGAAGGAGCCTGCAAGCTCCACATGTTATGTTTCCAGGCGTCCACCTGGAAACCCAAAGGACTCTTCCCCTTCCATATCATCCTTGAGACTCAGTGATCTGAGATTGCCTTCTGATCCTGAAAGGGCCCTCAACATAGCTAACCTAGTAGAGCCCCAAATCCAGCCTTCTGAGAAGCAGGCCTGTTCTGGTTACCTAGTGCCACTCTGACAAGAAATACATCACAAATGGGATGCCTTAACAAACAGTTTATTCTTACAATTTGGAGGCTTTAAGTCCAAGTTCAAAGTGCCAGGCTCTAGGGGCTAAGTGAAAGCTCCTCAACCTTGGGGTCCAGCTCTACCTCCTGCTCCTGGCACACTGGAGCTAGAGGCATTTCTTCACTCAGATACTGGCTGTTGAGGCTGAGAAGTCCCATGGTTGACAAGTAAAAAGGCACAGTCCCAATGTTACCAAAGTACAGGGCAGGCCATTAACTTAAGTCCATTGTAAGTCCCAAGGTCAGCAGCACATAGCAGGCTGCTGAACAACGACACGGCTACATGCAGGGTCCAAGTGTGCCAAAGGCTAGAGACCATTCCCAAGGTTTCTCCTTAAATACAAGAAGCAGACCACATCCCAAAGGCAGCTACTCAGCTGCTCCCAGTTGATTCCACCATGGAGTTGATTACCAGTCTCATCATGGGGAATACTACTACATCCAGCTGCTCAGCCACTCAACCAGGCCCAGCCAAGCTGACATACGAACATAACCATCACAAGGCCCCTTCCAGACTTCAACCCATCAACAAAGGGCTCCTTCTCCAAGCTTCTTCTCCACTCACACCCACCCTACCACACCCAAATCCTCAGGTAACACAGCTCTAAGCAAAGCAAAATAGGGTTTGGGGTTGCCACATTTCCCCAAAGTCTTCTATGATAGAAGACAAGCACAGACAGTCATGGCTGAAGGGACACACACTGCTTGAGACACACTGGTTATTGAGTAAAATGGGGTGCAGCAGTTTGGGGAAGCAGAAGAATGAAAATTTAGCTCACTTTCTTCTCCTGTATTCCTTTTTTTTTTTTTTTTTTAATTTTATTTTGATTTGGGTGAAAATTTACAGAGTAAATTCACTTTTCATACAGCAGTTCACATAATATACTTTGTCTCATGTCATTG